TAGCCATAACAACCTTTGTTACTCACCAGGTGCTGGTTGGGATTATCAAACCGCGTGTTGCTCTCGATCATTCGATCATAGGAGCGGCTCCAGAGCTGGTTCCAGACAACGATGAGACAGTAATTCTGCAAGATGCAGGAGACTGCCTGGGCTGGGGCCTTGATTTTTGGTCGGACACACCTTGATTTTTGGAGACTGAGCTTCATGTGTTTGCCTATGCTTGTTGCAGACCAACAATGGGGATAGCAACAGATGTTGAGATTAGATTTAAACCAACGGCCTCTCAGCCACCAATGCGACGGTTTCACCCGGTGCAAAGCACTGTGGATGTTTCACAAGCAGCATGCACTAACAATCTGGCCTCCAGCGCTGCATTTGTTGAAAGCATAGCCACTTGATCTCAAATTAAAAATGTGGTCAGTGAAAATCTAACAATTTGCCATGAAAACTGGCCCATGAAAATAAATCATTTACCTAGTGGGTTTGGATAGCAGTGAAAAATCCGAGGTGAGTTTTGTACGCAGCTGACGATTCAGCGATTCAGCCGGTCTTTCTTGTCCATTGACCACCCATTTTTTCGGGGAGATTCCATGTTGATTCCTTTAATGTACTGCATCCCAAATCAGCAGATTTATTAGTGCTCCAATTGAAAGCCGAAGGTCAAAAGTGTTTTCACCTCCAACATGGTTGGCTGAACATCCCAGCACTTTCAATTTATCTTTTGTTATTTTTGGGATTGAAAATGCAGAAAACTGCCAGAATCTACACTTGTTGAAACAAGTTAAGCCATGGATGAAATTTTTCGAGATCTCTAGGGGTCCAGTATCATTGGTAACACGTTGTTGGAGACCGATCAAAACTTTGGCGTCGACCGCGGAAAAATGGGATGATGGGGAAACTTGGCCCTGAGTATCTGATGGAAGTGGCGAATCCAGCATTGAAAAACGAGGTGTTTTCTGTTTTCCCTGCCCGGCAGTCATGGCGGTTTTGCAGGCTATGTGGCTATGTCCCGGAGAATTTCTGGGACCTTGACTTGTCATTTTTGAGCTGGTTTGGTGTAGAAACAGGAAAGCACTGCTTGTAAGCAAGGTTGATGTCCCTAGCCTGTGAAACCAGGTGTTTTGGGCTGTTTGAAATCTCCCCAAGTGCTGACTCGTTGGGAGGATCAGGGATTCCCTGATGCAATTTATTTCACCCCAGAAATCACAGAATTTTTGGGCCAATCAGTTCAGGGTACGCATTTTATTAAGCGGGCTATACTTGGATCAGGATCCAGATCGTAACTTGGATAAGAGCAGAATATCCTGGACGCTATGCTGACTGATATCCGACATGATCAACAGCACCGAGATCTGCTGATACTGTGGATGGTTGCGAAATCCTGCACCACCTCAATCAATGAATGAATACTTCATCAGCAAATTGGTGATTGAATCGACCAAGAGTGGAAAAAAGATGCAGATCTTGATGGGTTGCATCGGCCACCCCTCCGATCGTGTTACATCCATTCCGAAAATTCCGCCAATCTGCACAATTCGTGGTACATTTACTGTTGAAATCCGTGCATTACTGTTGAAATTGGTACTCCCCCCTGATTAGAAAACTGGGGAGCATTGATTCTGTGTGGATCTTCGCTCTCTGATGCCATGAAAAATCCGAGAAGGAGTTGATGAGGCGGGACCGGAGAAGATGGCGAATTAGATGAAGGAAACAAGCTGGACATCAACAAAAGATTGGGATTTCACCCAGATGAACTGCCAGATGTTGATGTCCTCAATGAATCCAGTGGCGGTTTCATCCATTGTTCATTCGTCTTACTTTGGAATAGTCTATATTCTAATTCTTTGTTTATGTATTCATTTTGATACTTTTTTTTCTCAAGTACCCATTGTTTCTTGATTCAAAACCATGATTCTAGTCATAAATATCAGAGATACCTTGGGGAGCCAGGGATGTTTTCCTTCAAAATCCCTCTAAAATTGAGCACCTTTGGATCCAAATTGACCGTCCAAGATCACGGACTTGATCGAAAAAACACACAAAAAGCAGCTAGAACTGGAACCTCCCAAAAAACGATGGTCAAAGCCTCAATGGCTTTCCTACTTTTTCGTCCCCCAAAAAAAAATCCTCATATAAATCAACTAACTCAGTGACAACATCACCACAGGCGTTGGCCGCGATGGCTGCCAACGTGGCGAAGAGGGATGGCCACGTTGGGCGGCCCAGAAAAAGTGGTGGCTGCTGCTCGCCACGTAAAATGGGATCATTTACCCAACATTTCATGGGGATTTAGCCAAGAAACATTGTTTTGTTTTACTTGATTTCACCAACATTTTTTTAAAGAAATCTATTTGACCAACAGCACCTGCGTATGAATCCATTTACCAGCTATTTTGGTGTCAAAACTAATACCCATCCCCAACTGATAGGTCAAGTTCTACATTGGGCATCAAACAATTTATTTATATAGATGGTTCGTACTAAACATGTGGTCCAAAAGAGGGAGCCAACTGCAAAAAGCAAGGATTCCACCAAGAAAAATATGGCTCGAACCAGCAAATGTTGAGGAGATACCTGGAGTCGTTGTTCAAGTCTAAAACCTTACCACAAAAAGAGAGCGCCTAGCAGAACACAACAGCCACCTCTTCTAGGAAGATGATGTAGGAACGGGGCAGTTTTCACCACTTTGGGGCAAGTCAGAAATGGTTGTGCATATTCTCCATAATTTTTCCTCAAAAAATATTCATGGGGTTAAGTGGGATTTCACGGATTGGAAATGGACTATATATCTTCCTGCAAGCATTTTTTTAGTGATTGCAGTGATTGCGAACGTATGCATCACATCATGGATTTCTTCATCTTTTCACAATCATGCTGATTTGCTCATTATATTCTATCCATCTTACAATCCATTCATCCATCATATCCAATTCATTTTAATTCTATATATATATATAAAACATTGTGGTTCATGTACCAACCATTGTGGTTCATGTCGATGAAGGTACATGAACCACAATGGTTTATATATATATATATTATACTGATTGGTGGTTTGGAACATTTTATATTTTTCCATATATTGGGAACAATATAATCCCATTTGACTAATAGCTAATATTTTTCAGAGGAGTTGAAACCACCAACCAGTAGATGTTTATAGATTTTGCCATCATGGATTCACATCACGGAGTATTCATCATGGATGATTCATCAGAATCCATCATAGTAATAATCATACTAACGATGCCTAAACATTACTATAAACACATTCATAAATTAGTAATGTTTATAGCTATAAGCACTAATGATGAATACTAATGATTACTAATGACTAATAATGATAAACACATGTTCGCTGCAACCCTGACGTTGCTCCGCGTCTGACTTCAGGTGGCCATGAAGATAAAGTTGATGTTATTACCCCAATCAACATATTGTTCATAGAGGGTGGCAAATTTTGATCCCTTATGAAGATAAAGATGATGTTATTACCCCAACCAACATATTGTTCATAAGGAGGTGAATAATTTTGATGCCTTTGAAGATAAAGTTGATGTTATTACCCCAACCAACATATTGTTCATAGGGGGTGGCAAATTTTGATCCCTCATGAAGATAAACTTGATGTTATTACCCCAATCAGCAAATTGTTCATAGGGGGTGGCAAATTTTGATCCCTCATGAAGATAAAGTTGATGTTATTACGCCAAACAAAATATTGCTCATAGGGGGTGGCGAATTTTGATCCCTTATGAAGATAAAGATGATGTTATTATCCCAATCAACATATTGCTCATAGGGGGTGGCAAATTTTGATCCCTCATGGAGATATAGTTGATGTTATTACATGTTATTACCCCAGTCAACATATTGTTCAGAGGGGGTGGCGAATTTTGACCCCTCATGAAGATAAAGATGATGATTGTGATGATGGTGATGGTGATGGTGATGATGATGATGATGATGATGATCATGATGATGATGATGATGATGATGATGACGATTGTAAGTGTGGAGCAACGTCCGGGTTGGGGTGCACATGTTTTCAGCTATAACTACAAATAACAATTACATAAATCACATTCACCAACCATTTCTCCATCTCCCCACGCCGCCAAGTTTGTTGGAGAAGGCCGCGAAGGTCCAAAGCTTGACCCCGACCAAGGCCTGGATGATGCCAGGATGGCCCAACAAAAACCAGCAGAAAAAGTGGGATTTCACGAAGGAAATACCGGATCTAGCCAATTCGTTGATAGTTATCAATGGATATGAATTGGGTATTACAGTAATCAAAGTGCATGGGTTTGTCCAAACATTGCTTCTCCAAAAAATGGCCTATTTCTTTTCAAGATCGAAACTTTTCACTCTATAGATGATTTCCATTTTGAGGGGTACCCCGAACAAACAGAAAAATCCATCCCTACCATGCTGATACTTTCTTCTTATTTACCTTTCTATCATTTTTTGGTACCCCATAGTTCTGTTCCCCAAAATAAACTGGTACGCATCCCAACTGTTTTTTGAGCACCCATGGGGTGCATGGAGAAATTTGAGGCCCTCCAACACCTGTCACAAGTTGAGGGATACATTAGTAAAGGGGTTACGATTTGTAACTTGAAACACCGAAAATGAACACCGCACTTGGACCCCACAGATGATGTTCGAGTATGATTCAGGACAATGATTCATCGTCAGGGTTGTAAATACTGTAAGACGAGGGATATAAGTTACAAAAATCAGTACGAAACCTAATTAGCTGGCTTAAACATACGGACTATCTTACATAATAGCTGCAATTTCAGGTTATCAATGATTAAACAAATTATGACATAATTATGTTTATATAGTCAATATCCACAGAACAATGATCTAAATTGTTGAATAGCAAAAGATTACAGAATCATTATTCAGTGGTTATTCCATTTCAATATAGCCACAGATTTCATTGGTGGAAACCCATTTTCCAAGGATTTCCCAAGGATTTCCCAAGATTTCTGCTGGTTTTCACCGTAGGTTTCCGGTTTGTTCCCACGCTTCACCAGTCCTTGGCCATGTTGGGCGAAGTCACCAGCCATGCGGTGAAGGATGGCCAGGCGTTTTGTTTTTTGATAGCCAGGCTGTGTTGAAAATGGCAATTTATAGTGGATTTACCCATTAATAGCATGGTGGATCTTTCCATAGTTATGTTAGTTTACCAGAGGGCACCAACAAAAATTGGAAAATGGATGAACATGGTAAATTTTATGACTGATTTGCCTACTGTATATTTACCTATCGATCAGTCATTGTGATTTTTCGAAAGCTATGTTAAATGACCGGAGGGTAATCGTAGATCACAACACAGTGGATCGATTTGTCAAATGATGAAATATGATATTCATGGTAAAGCAATATTACAATTTATAATATAAGTATCCAGATACCAATTTGATTCCAAATAGATATATAATGGTGGTCAACAATAGTCAATCATTTGATACATAGCGATTCATGGTTAACAATCATTTCTATCTATACGATTCATTGCCAATGGTCACTGATTAATTACATCGATGGATGATAACGATAGTTAACAAACAGTGATATCAGTGATATCATACTGGCTAAAAGTTAGCTCATGGTTGGATCACCGAGAAAACGATCCATTGTTATCTAGATAGAGAATATGATAGTTTATAATGATTGACCATTGGATAATGGTCATTAGCAATTGGCTAGTAGTTAGTGGTTAATTTCGAGAATACATATCTACCTATGTGATGTGATAAATGGCTCGTTAATGATCCAGATAGATGATTTGATGCTTGAATAGTTGTTAGTCATGCTCAATAGTATGTTAAATCACACTTTTTGAGTTATGAACACCAGAAACATGTAAGAATTCAATGCCAACAACAGCGGGAATATGGGGTACATGGATAGTATTGGGGTAAGTTGTAACGACGTCACTGGCCGATGCAAGGGTAAATGGTGGAACTTTTCAGGCTAGTGAATTACTATGATACTATGATATGATTCCCCAACTTAATGGTGAGTTAGAGTAAGTACTATAATTGGCTTTACTATAATGGATAAAATTTTCTGAGTGTTCATTACCAAAATATGAGTCACTATCATCCATCCAATAGTGAGTTACAATGAACCCAACAGCAGTTGGATGGATTTGTTGTTTTCGCTTTTTTGGTAATAGTGTAATAGCGGGATCCATCTATTTGATAGATGATCCAGGTTGATAATATTATGATTTGGGAAGAATGGTGAATCATGGTTTGTACTTGGCAAGAATCGGCCGAACCAATGGTTCTGATTGGGTAACCAATGGGTCTCAATGGGTTTGTTGAAACATGATGGATGCACCAAAATAGTGAGAACGTTTGGATAAACCAAGGGATTTGAGGCACCCAATCTTTTGCACAAGACTGATTCCTTGAGCTCGCCACAGGTGCCGGACTTGCTACAAACTCCAGTCTTCGCATCCCTGTTGGAGCGGGTCTGGCTGCCAATGGAAAGGAGTCCCAACAGCAGATTTCGATTAGGCTTGAGGTGGCTGGAATCTCTCGAGAATTGGAAGTATGTCCAGGGTTTCAGGGAAAGATTGAGAAACTTCCGTTTCGTTTGTTTTTTCTTTTCGCGTTCCAGATTCACCTCATCGTTGTTTTGTGATTCTCACGATTCGAATGGACCCCAAACCCGGAGAGTTGTCAATTTTAGGAAGAAATAAGTTGTCTTCACATGTTCCAGAAAAAACAAACAAATGAATGCCCTTCGAATGCTGTGAAACATTTGAAATCCATCGCGTGTTTTCATTTTTTGGCAGATTTTTTGGTTCCCACTGGTTTCATCTTCCTCGCAGCCGAGGTGGAGAATCGCTTGTATGGCTTTGCAGTGCATGAGGTGGGACCCGGACCTTGGACAGAACTGGGATGATGGGATGGTGGAAAACCTGATCACCATTGGATTCCCAACTGCAGCTGCTTATAGTTTGAGCCCCCAAAAAAGCTGGGATGTTACTGGGATGTTACTGTAGGGGTTTGATTGTGCACCAGGCTGCCGGAGTCAAGTTCCAAGATGCAGCCAAGGATCCAGCCTTCAAGTTTTCAGATTCGAAGTTTCATACCGTACTGCAAGGTTCCAAGGTTTCAGGGTACATGGTTCCGCAGTTTCAAGGTCCTCTGGTTTCAACATTCCAAGATTCAAAGGTTCGAATCCAGGTGCCACGGTTTCAATTTTGTGATCTGAACTTCAGATGGTTCCAGGGCTTCGAGACTCCGTAGTTTCCAAGTTCCACGGTACTTTGGTTTCAACTGGCCTGGGATAAAGAATCCATAAAGAAGCTCCTTCGATGGTGATGAAATCAACCTGTATGAAACCCAAACGTCCGAGTTGACTTCATGGCCATCAAATGAGGCGCACGTGGATACTTGCAATTGTGCTCCCAAGCCGGGATTTCTGGGCATTTCCAATTTGTATCCATCTATATCATTGTGCCAGTAGGATTTGCTCATCATTGTTGCTACTGACTGTCACCTTTTATCTGGCAATCTGCAGGTCAATCATCCCAATCGGATTATGACGCCCTTGCCATGACTCCCCTTTTGTGTTGATTTATCCCCCGGAAAAATATAGGACAGACAGACATTTAATGACCATTCTTACAGTTCTCAGGATTGACATTTGGGAAAATCGGCCGCAAACAAAGATTTTTTGGGGAAGCACAGAACAGTTTCTCTATATGTTCCCTCAAACCAATCCATGAATCCATGCTTCCAGTGGGTCCAGATTTCTCCCACAATCCAAGCAGGTCTACCTGCTGGTTCTATGCATTTGTCGCACTTTTGCAGCTTCCAAGGTGTGGCGGACCGTCGGACCGTGTGCATTTTCCGGTCCTGGAGAGCTGTCGTTTCAATCTTCAGCGTTTCTTCATTTACTCATTTCTCAATTTTGAGACCACTGACTTCCACAAGTTTCATCAATTTTCCCGATGTTGCGGACTAGTGACCAGCTTTCCTTGTGTCTGCAGACAGTCAACAAGGCAATCATAGCAACCGTAGAACATTTGGACGACATCTGGTCTTTCTTTTCGCCGCTAGCATGGCCAGGTGTCTCCTGGGGACCAACACGCGGGGCGTTTGTTAAAGTCTGCGGTGGAACAACTCTCTGAAGATTTGGAGGCTCAGCAGGGTCCAGCTTTTGCTGTACCCTCTGGTAGTTTAACATAGCTATTGAAAATGGCCAGTTATAGTGGATTTTCCCATTAAAAATGGTGATTTTCCATAGTTATGTTAGTTTACCAGAGGGTACATCCTGGTTAGTAGCTGATCAGAATCGTGAGCATCGCAGTTGCGAACTCGGATTGATGCACATGGAAGCTAGATCCCGGAAAACGTCTAGGTCCTTGTGCTTGATCCTTTCGAACTGCATTGTTCGTTGATTCTGTGGTAGAGGCCGCAAAGTTGGCAAAGCAAAAAAAACAACATCGTGCATGCGGTATACTCCTACTTTTTTTTTTAATTGCCATGTTTAATCTTTGTATATACAATCAATGATATCGTTTCTTTTCGAAATGAAGCGATATTTGATGATGTTGGAACATGAACTATCTAAGTTATTAAATGTACAATTCTTTGCTAGTTTCTGGAAAAACATCGTTATATACTCCTGTCCACACTGAGTAAAATTGCTATGACGGAATTTGGAGTAAATCCCCCTGTTTATCAGCAAAACCCATATGGTAGTGAATTGCTGGACTACATATTTCTTATCCATGGATTCAACCAAGTACTGACCTTTGCGAGGTTGTGACCATCCAAATTAGGGCGATAGTCACCACTGGAATACACTAGAATAGACCCACCAGAAACTGTTGCACATTATTTATCTATCATAATTTATCTATCATCATTATATATTCGCCCAAGTCCCGACTGGTAAAATCTCAATTCTTTCCTGACCATTTACCCTCTGGTAAATAAACATAGACCCTGAAAATAGCCAATTTTTAATGGTTTCACTAGTCTTCCAACCCCATTAATAGCATGGTGATTTTCCATTGCTATTTTAGTTCACCAGAGGGTAATCAATTCATATCCATTCTTGTTGGCTCTATATCCCATGAACATGGCCATGAGATACCCATCATTCACCAAGATTCACAACAAGATTGGCCATGATTTTCACCATGGTTACCTTCCAATAAATTAACAGTTTGACCCTGGAAGTCATCGGGGTTGGAAGATGAGTGAAACCACGAGTGAAACAGGCTATTTTCAGGCTCGAAGTGTTGATTTACCAATGGGTAATCACTATATAATCACTATAAATCGCTATTTTCATCACTATTATTGTATATAATTCATCAATAGAGATTATTAGAGGTTATAAATCGCTATGTTTCACCATTTTTCCCCTCTGAGTTGACCAGAAAAAGTGGGCTGCACCCTTGGTCGCCTTGGCCTCCTTCAGGAGCTGAGCTGTGCGCAAGTGGTGCAGCTCATGCAGCTCAGGAAGTACGTGAACCAGGTGGGACTGGGAGATTTTAGCCACGTGAATGTTTGTTTTTTTTATCACATGTGATTTTGGTGAAAAAAATGTGATACTGTTTTCTTTTCAAAAAAAATGGTTACGGCAAGACCCTATGGTTTGCCCTTGCAGGTTAGAATGGAGTTCAAATGAATTATCCGTCGACACGCTCAAAAACCTGCACAGGGCCAGTGTTTTGGTATTTACCAGACGACGAACCGCATACCCTAAAACCCTAAACCCTAAAACCCTAAAACCCTAAACCCTAAAACCCTAAAACGCTAAACCCTAAAACCCTGAAAACTCTGAATCCCAAAGCAGAAAACATTGCGTATATGCAGTATTTTCTGCAATTTCTGATGACAGGGAATCCTCAATGTTGCAGTCTGGGCAAACCACGGGGTCTGTGCGTATGGTTAGTAGATGGTGGTATAAGACCAACAGAATGGTGATTTTATCAAAAAGGAAAGGTTAATTAAGCCAGTTAATGTGGTTCATACTTGGTCAATTGTAGTTTGTAGTGATCATAGTATGGGTTGGCTGCCACGGTTTCCTATCCTTACCAAGCAAGAAACCATGGCAGACACAAGATGATCATGTAATATGTAACCAAACAAGTACTGATCAATAACTGGGTTCATGATGAATGGATGATTCACGATGCTCAATGATGATAATAATGATAGGACACGAGCAACCGCATGTATAGACCGTGGATATAGTGGGATATAAGTGGGATATATCACCAACACTACAATATTACAAGGTGTTTGACGGCATTTTTCACAGACATATTTTCACAGTGAAGAGACTTTTCACAGGTGATTTTCAGATGCTCACAGTACTCACCAGTGGTTGGTTGTCACCAATGGGATGCATCCTCAACTGTCCGAGTCCAGTCTTTTTTTGAGACATAATTTGCACTAATGTTCATTATCCCAAGTGCATAATGGCAACATAGTTCAACATATATGGCAACTGTGCATGATGTTTTGAATAGACATTATGGCAACATTCATAATGTACAACCGTTTTTTGTTTATGGCAACCGTTGTTTTGAATAGATATTATGTTTTGATTATGGCAACATAGTTCATGATCGTTTTCCCCCAAACAAAATCCACGGTTGAACGTCCAAAGTTGATCGCCCCTGGTCCTTGAGCATCGCGACAGCCCCCGATGAACGCTGCCATGTTCTGCCATAGGTGGAACCCGACCAAGAGTTCTGGCAAGCGCGACGGCTCAGAACTGGAAGAGCTATTCCGTTGGTATCATTGCTGATTTGCTGAGTTTGACAGGGTTTTGACATGTTTTGACAATAGCTTTGTCTCACAACGGGGGATGCACCAGAATAACAATTATTGGTAACATTGTCATATATTCTAAAGCTGGAAAAACAGTGGGGTTGAAGAGAGGTCCCCCTTTACAAACTCAAAGGTCACTTTCTCTTGGGAACTTTAATATCACCAAAGCAGATGCTTGTTAGTAGTGAATTCCCCAAAAAAGGTTGGGTAATGGGAGATTTCACTCCTTTTTTCATTGGCTACATTTCCAAGGTAGTTTGGTGATATTCCCATTTTTGTGGTCGCTTTCTTTTTCGATTTTCATGCCTCCACGTTCATGGACTGCATCCTTATCCTAATCATAGTTGGCTCCAAACCCACATTTTTGTCATGAGCGATCCATCGTTTTGAATGGACGTTGGCACTACTGCTCGTTGTTCTTTTCTCACTGGTTGGTTGATTCATACGAAGGTGGTATCGACCCGCTCTTCTTGCTGCAGGATCCTCCGTTTTCGATGGATGTTTTCTCTTTTTTGTTGGCTCCACCTCTTGGTGGTTTTACTCTCTACTTTGGTGCTTAAATCCAATGTGCATCGTTGTCCATCTCCCGGTTAGATCCACATTTTTTTACTGGGTTCAATACCTCTTTTGTTGCTTAAAGCTGATTCTTTCTTTACAGTGTTCCATCTCCTTTCCCCGCCCTTGTTAGTTTTACTCCCCGCACATATAATCCTGTTTTGGGTTGTTGACTCCTCCCCTTGGCAATATTCCATATCATTGGATCATCTGTTTGCAAACATTTTCAACTCCCTATGTCTTGGTTTGCATTTCCTGTTCATCCCTGTTCTATATGTCAAAGTTTCCCCGATGTCGTGGTTTTTGGGACATCTGAGGCACTACAGCAGGCAATGCTGCGGCTACTTCGTGGTGCTGAGCTGAGTCCGAAGCTCTTGTGCCTGGCGCTGGAAGGGCTCAAGACATGGCCCGGGGGCTCGGGCCAAAGCACAAGGTTGGGCTGTTGGTTGCTGTGTGTGTCTGTGCGCGCGCATGGATCAGCTGAGGCCCAAAGATCTCGTCAACCCCAAGCTAGTTGAAGAACTGGTCAATGCTACAGGGAGGTGCTGGCCCTGGGAAGTGAAGGGACACTTTCATGGGGAAAATTGGGGAATTTCACCAACAACAATGGAGATTAACATGGGAATTAACCAGAGAGATTGAGATTTAACCAACATGACTTGGGATCAAACATTGGGAATTGCCAAGAAAAATGTCGATTTAACCAACAAACATCCAGATTCAACCAGCAAAAAGGGAGATTTTTGCCAACACAACGGGGGATTTTGACACTTAGCCATGGTCAATCATGGCTCACACTGGTCCAAACTTGGGTGAAGGGATACTCCTATGGCGAGTGCACATGGAACATGATGCTCTAAGCACCTACTATTTTCAGACCAACTGGTTGTTTGGGGAGGATTTGGAATCACAGAAACCATCTGTGAAGATTCTCACCACACGGTCAATTCTCCCAGCTTGGGAATATCTCCAGCTTTCTCCCCGGTATGAACCACATGGCGACCCTCCGGCATGGCCAAACATGGCGAAACATGGCCATTGAGTTCCATCATTTTCCATCAAAAAAACCTCGATAAAAAACATAAAATGTAGGCTGGGCCCCTAAACCCAGCCTGGAATCAGGACCCGCCCCTTAAAATTTCGACGCTGCAGATCTTTGGATGACTTCTCTTCAAAGCAGTTGGTGCTGCTGGGAGTGAATCTGACCACCCTGGGGGTTCAGGAGGAGCGACACCGCTGTGTTGGGGACAGGCTTGGGAATTGTTTTCAACACAGAGGTTGTGAGGGTTTTTGGATTTTGGTTACATTGGTTGAAACTGCTTCAGCCGAGAGGTACGGTGCCTTACGGTACGTTTTTTCTAGTCAGACTCGGTGCTATTGTTCTTATCCTGCTGCTGTGGCAGGAGGTTGTCTCTCAGATTGCTGAGAGGCCGGGCACGTTGGGGATAGGGTGGTTCATGAGTTATCTTTGGTGAACGTTTATGTGAATGGATTGATGTAAGCGAAAAAACATATTGGTCTTGCCCAAATAATTAGTTTTGTTTTCCCAACAGATTTTGCCTCAATCAATTCTGGGATGGTGACTTTTGTACTATTTTGTTCCCAAGATTTTCACAATGCCAAACATGGCCATGCAGCACATGACCAAGCGCTGGAAAGTACACCATTTAGTTTGATCATTAGTCATCTAAACCTCCATATGGCTAGTTCAGGGATTCTTTAGACACTTATGACTTATGACAGTTAAACGTTTGATTACTAGAGGCCAATCCCGTTGAAAACCAGAACATGTTAAGCTACGTTAAACCAGAGGGTAACCATAAAATTCCCATTAGATTATAGACTTTGGCATGATCTCCCATGAATCCCATTCTGGTTGGTGCTGACTGGAACCATGGAATTTTTGATGACTTTCCATTCAGTTGGGAATGTCATCATCCCAACTGACGAGCTCCATGATTTTTCAGGGGGGTAGGTGGCTCAACCACCAACCAGATGATATTCCAGTTCATCTCATTAAAAACCAGCATGAATGAGATTTTTCAGGGGGTAGGTATACCAGTATACCACCAACCAGCAGTAATCTCATTAAAGAAGACCATCAAATCAGAGGATGTGCCAGGCTGCGCCTAGCTATGCCATTGCTGCCACCACGGCAGCTATGCTTGGTGCTGGAGATGGCAGCACTAAGTGCCGTGCCACAGGAGCCTCTGGTGGGGGGGTGAGTCCCCAAGGTAGTGCCAAATACGTGGGAAATCCCTGAAAAATGGCCGTGGATTTGGTTCATACTGCTTGGTAGTAGTTAGCAACTAGATTAAATGGATCACAACGAAAATAGTAATAGTGATAGTGATGACGCTAGCAATGATAGTAAGCATGATGGTAACAGTAGTAGTATTAGTAGCAATGGCAATAGCAGTAGCAGTAGCAACAGCGATAGTAATAGTACTCGTAATAGTAATGAGAATAATAATATTAGTAAGAAGAAGAACAATAGTAATGATTTTTCCTAACAATATAAATGGAAATACAGTAACACCTAGAATAATATATAGAGGATAGTAATGATAATAGTAACAATGGTAAGGATAGTAGTATCATTTTCTTTACCATATCAATCAGCTGTAGAAGTGATCGATTATGATATTACTATATTGATAACATAGTAATCCATATTGATAACATAGTAATATCGACTATTCTTATTATGATATTATGATATTACTATGTTATCAATATGTTGATCTATATTGTTATTAACATGTTATCAATATGTTATTATGAAATATATTTTTGTGTTATCAATTATTGATACTATATTGGATACTTATTATAGATACTATGTTATATCTATATTATAGATACTATGTTATATCTATATTATTGATACTTATTACTATATTAGTATATTAGTATATTAGTATATTACTATATTACTATATTACTATATTACTATATTACTATATACTATATTACTATATTATTGATACTATATTGAATACTTATTATGATAGAACTATTCTTTTCTCTACAGCTGTCAGGCGCTGGAGAACTTCTTGCCTCGCTGTTTGGAAGTGGCGCATAGCTTCCTCGCGCCCGAGGCCGTACGTGTCCTGAGGCACGGTGTCGGCACCGGTGATGGCACCGGTGATGGTGACTGGATGATGACAATGATGAACCATGGGATGAACCAGTTTGGTTGGATTAAGCAATTGTAGTAACGATAATGCTAATGTTCATAGTAACAGTAGAATTAATAGTAAGTGGACTTTTTGGTCAACTTTTTTGTCGTACCAGATCAAAAACAAAGAAACCACAACAGAGATGACAAGTTGTCGCCTAGAGTTTTTCCTTCTTTACATGATACATCATCGCACTATACTATACTGAAATCAAACATGGTTGGATAATCTCCCCATTGTCATGGCAAGATCATCCATGAAGGTCAATTTTAATGGTGGATATTTTCAGCCATCACCAAAAAATATACATCACATTTGATGGTTAAATAAGTTGAGAGTTGATGTAACCATCAACATACTTTAACTCATCATAATGGTGAATCAAAAAGTCAAGTGATGTTGAATTTGAGTTCAACCGTTTTCAATTCACTTCTTCGATGTTCAGCCCCCCATGGCCGGCTTACCGGTCATCTTCCCCTTGGTAGACTTCCCAGGGCTATGGCCTGTCTGGGCATCTTTTCAAAGGACTTGGTGATTCTGCTGCTGATGCAGGTGTGGCAGTTGTGGGAGGTGGGCCCAAAATATGTGCCGCTCAAAACATGGGGAACATGAGGTTTAAAACTATGGGATGGAATGGGGTTGTTTAACATAATGATGGGAAAAGCAAGATCAAAACTGGGATTCGACATCCGATTGGGAATCTGAAATTATGAACCCCGAATAAATGCTGGCTGTTGAAACCCAGCAATTTCAAACATATGATGGCCCAAGGTACCAGCGTGAAGTGTGCTATACCCTGTGCCATTAAAACACCATATGTACACGATCCCAGGTTCATTTGTAATATATGCCCTTTGTGCATGGATGGTTTTGTATACCAATGACCAGAGGCTTCTTTTGCAGCGCGCATTGAACTATACTTCTCGCCCCCCTCACACATCCGAAGTTCGGATGTACTCATGCCAACATTCCTCTAAATGCATACTCATGACATGTGAACACAAACTTGAACATGTAGGGATGCACACGGAACCCTGCGGCCATGGTGCAAAGTTAAAAGCTTAATCATGGGACGACTGTGTCAACGCTTCCATGCAAAATGGCAACAATTTGCTGGGTCCATTTGTACCCTATGGGTCCTTATTCTTTATCAGCTCCTTCTCCATGAGGACGTGCATATCACTTAGTTAGTGGATTACATGTAGTTTATCTATAAAGAATTAATTATTTTCCCAGTTGGGGGTTTCCATATTTCCATAAATGGGGGTACCCCTAAATCATCAATTTTTGTTTGGGATTTTCCCTAGCAAAAACCATCCAGCTATCTTCATGGGTACCCCCATGACGACATGGAAACTCGCCACGAAGGGATTCCGGGGGTGCGGTGAGAATAGGTCTCCACCATCTTTAGACTTGTTTACACACAAGATGAGTAGAAGCCAAAGTTAGACACAGACAATATACATAGAAAATCAATGCAAAACATTTCTTGAAGAAATGCTTGGAATCTTCAATAGGAAACATACAATATACAATCTGGGATTATATATATATAATTTATATAATTATATATATAATATACATATATACACATATACCTATATCTTGAATCTTGGATCTTTTTCACCTGAAGTCACCGCAGATGCTTTCCCAGGTCTCCAAGGTGCCCCGCAGCTCGTTGACAGATGCGGAGGATCGTGCCCTGCACCAGGCGCAGCGGACATGAATCATGCGTCGTTTCACGTGGATTTTATGGTGATGTTATGGGAATATATGAAATCTACTGGATTTATGGGATTATCACTGTGAAATCACTATTAAATGTTATGTTATTTTCACATTACCATATATATATTTATGGGAATCTACTGGCTTTTTTGGATTTATGGTAATATATGGTTTACTATTTTTTTGATTATATATGGTAACATATATATATGATGTTCTAGGGGTTTTGGGTTTTTTGTAGGGTTATAGGAATCTTCTGGATTTTGTGGATATATGGCAATAGATGGTGAATTATTTTGCTGATATATCTTTGTAGATCTTTTATTTTTTGGCGAGTGAGATAGATATGTTGGCCATGCTTATTCGCACCGGTGTGAAGTTGACACTAGGACCCCGTAGCACTTACTTTACTGTCAATGTGTAACTCCTGTCATGTCAGCAGGGTTTTGTCGGCCCCCATGCGTTTTTTTTAAACCACGGTATTTCCACTGCGCTTTGATAAGGACCGGCCTAATCTCGTTTACCATCAAATTGAGGGGTTTCAACCATAATTTTCCCTTCAAGTCTTTCATTATATTGAATTCTGCATCCTTTTTTGTGGATTGTGGTGTTGTGGTTTCGCCCTATAGATTGCCATGCCATGTTTATCTCTCTGGTTGACGGTTTCAGCTGTTTGCATGTTTCATCTCCACTGTTTTCTTTTTTTCTCAGGGTGGGTAGAGCACCTGCCATCATTTGTTTGTAAATGTTCTTCCAAACTCCCATGATTTTCATATTTTTCCCAACCGTCACACTCATTTGTTTGTAGAACACCCCCATTTCTGTTGGGACATCCTCCCATTTTCAAGATTTTGCTTTGCAAATGTTCTTCAAAAATGGGGGGTTTCGATGTGTCCCAAACCATCTGTTGCTTGGTGCAAGCCGCGAGGTCATGCTGAGCTTGTTGCATGACCCATCGGCCTCTGAACTCAAAGATGCCATCGCCAGCAGCAACGAGCTATGGGAGAGTTGCTACAGGCCGCTGGGGTACGCTGGCGGGCCGCTAAGGCTGAGGGATGTGGTTTTTGTCAACCAAAATCTGAACGACATCTTGGTTCATCTATTTAGTTTACAAAAATCATGCTTAGTTCATCTTGGTTTATAGTTCATCCATGTTGGACATGAACTTATATTCATAGAATTGGTTTATGGTAAAAATTACAGGAAAAGCCGATCAATTTGGTGGTAAAAACCATGGTTTCCGGTTAAGATTTTCCCTTAAACCAATCCATTGATATATGTACCCCAGCTATTTTTGTGAGGTTATGAACCACATAGGATTCCAGCCCTCCGCGCATTTTTGCCACCTCTACGGAGACGCTTGACCCAGTTGACCCAGCAAACCTTTGCAGATTTTTGGGACAGAGACACAGAAATTTACCCTCTGGTAATTTGTTACATAGCTATTGAACATGGCAATTTTTCATGGGAAAATCCACTACAAATGGCCATTTTCAATAGCTATGTTAAATTACCAGAGGGTATCACATGCAATAATTGGATATATAAATTTGGATTTATCTATGCATCCAAATATATCATCCAAATATATCCAAATATTTTCTGTGGTATGTGCCTAGTGCGAGTGGGACAGAAATGGGAAACATATCCACATAAAATTAGCAATGAATCTCACCGTCACAAACCCAGAGCTAGTCATGCCTGGTAAAGTCTCTAAAAACAGACAATTTTTTAGAAGGATCTTCGAAATACTTTGGGTGGTTGTTGGATCTCAAATATTGTTTGACAATCATCTGTAATGGTCTCTGGTCTCAGAGCGATGCTCCTCACTTGACCGAGTCTAAAATGGGTTGAAACTGCCTAGGTCTCTAAATCAACAGGTTTAGGGATTATATACCTTTATATGCCTAAATAAATACTGCAGGTTGGTTCAAATCGACAATTGTGTTCACTGCTGGATAGACCCGAATGAAGCATCTCCTTACAGTTTTGTCCCTTATACCTGGATGCTGAAAGTCTTTGAAGTAAGATGCTGCCATGTTTTCTCGGTCAAGGTCTGTGTTTCCCAACAAACGGGTATGGTCAGTTCATGAAACTATCATACTTTCCGGCAACTTAGAGTGGTAATGGGAAAACACTTTGAATAGGACAATTCTCTTATGTGTCAGACCAAAAAGCAACCATACCTCATTTCAGCAAGTTTATTCTCTAGTGTTTGATGCAACTTGTTGAGTATCCCGGGTCATTTTGAGTGAATTGTAGCGACCTCACTTGACGGGGGAGCCAATGTCAAAATGACATGACGGGCGAATCGAAGGGCCAGAACGTGGTGCTTCCGATAGGGAAAAAAAAGTGAGTCACGAAGCTGACCAATTCACCAGGATGCCAATAATGATGTAATGATGTGATTTTGGTTCTATATGTGTTTATCGATCAAGCACTGATATCAATGGAGATTCTTGCATCAATGCACCCCTCCTTTCCTTGTTGATCGCTATTTTAACTTCTCATTGAATTAGCTAGTTATTAAAGGGAACATCATATTATCAAATCCCACATATTTGGGCAAGAAGACGAGTTCCTGATAGTTCCTGTACATTTTTCATTCAACCTTTCCAGCACGGGTGTCTCTCGGAACTCATTGGAATAACAGCACAACTCCCCTCCCATGACCTCACCGCAAATGATGGTTCAACAAAAAGAAATGTGAATCATCCCAACCTGGTTGGTGGTTTGGAAAATAGTGATATTAATAGTGGTTAATAGGGTATAATACCAACAACAATGGGAATATGATGGTTATATAACTGGTTGGTGGTTTGGAACCTTTTTTATTTTTCCCATTCAGTTGGGAATGGAATAATCATCCCAACTGACGAACTCACTCCATGACTTTTCAGAGGGGTAGGGCTCAACCACCAACCAGCAACACATTCCCCCCAAAAATGCTTTACTTGCCCACTGATGTTGGATTTCCAGCTGACTTCTGTGAAAAAAGACGTCAGCTCCAGGCCAGAGGAAGCGGTGCTGGAAGCCACCGATCCCAAGGTCAGATGGGATGGTGGGTCATTCAGCAGCTCCAATGGGGTGTGCCAAAAAAAAGATGTTAAAACCATGGTCAGAAAACTAAGGATGTTTATCAATGGAAGCCCTGAGAATGATGAGAATGAATCTGGAACGAAATGATGGAAATGATGGAAATGGCTTTGCAAGATGAGTTATTTGTTCTGTGGCTTCGGTTTTGAATTTTGTAGAGGTATGTTTCCGGCATCAACAGGAGTCCTCCAGAGCAAGACATCACTTGCAGTGAAACATTGTGGGTCAAAGGTGTCTACTGGGGATGATTCCAGGATCCTACCCAATCATCATGATGGTCAGAAGTTCCCCAGAGATCGACCCGGACCGATCATCAGGACATGATACATTCATGGATCAAACTTGTCTCACCCCAAAATTTGGATGGTCTCAAGGCGCTACCATTGCTATTCGTGGTGCCAAAGTGGGACCCTATTTTAGGTTGGCATACCATTCTCGCAGGATTGTTTTGAAACAGGGATACCCCCAGGACTGTGGGCCGGTTTAACAGTGGGCTGTGATTTGAAGGATCAATGGATCAATGTTTTTGACCATCAAAATCTTATGTGCCATCAGGTATAGCGGCAGAAAAAAACAGGGCCCGAATCCGGTTTTGGCCTTCCAAAACATCAATAATTATTGGTGTATTTGCAAAACAGGAGGGTTTTCCAAAACAGAATGACTACCCTTGGGTAACCAAACATGGCTTGCTGGAAAATTGCCATGGATAGTTCCATGAACCTGCCAGCTATAAACTTCCATGGCTAGTTCGGGGATAGCTGGATATCTGTCAAAGAATCCTGGTACAGTAATGAAATCCAAAGGCATTTCTCCATTAGCCAGGCCTTAGAAGTGATGAAAGATGTGCCAATGGCTTTGGAGGCGGCATTCAAGCCAGTGGCTGGTAGAATTGTCCCATTGGCAGGTTGAAATCCAGTTTTTGATGGCAAGAATCCCGACTTTTGGTGGTGAGGATGGCAAACATCCTGAGTTTTGCTGGTGCTCATCCAATTCTGTTTTTGACGAGATGTATTTTTTTTCCAGACTTTGTTGGGTGGTTTCAATGCCACTCTTGTTGAATGTTTGTTGGTGAACTGTTGTGACTGTCGCTTTAATCCCCACTTTTCATCGGCGAAACTCCAACAAGTAAAGTGGCAAGCCAAAAGAAACACGACCGTATTATTGGGCATGGTCTACCTCTTTGTATATTCTATTTCTGGCAAAGTCCTGTAATTGGATGTAATTGGGGCATTTTTTCAAAACGTGTTTACCATGGTCTCCCATGGTTCACTGGGCTGGGGATGCCCCCTGACCTAGCGCAGGCAGCAGGGGTGCAAGTGGCCTCTACTGGCTCCGCGGCAAATTGCGTGGATGTGGATTCCACTTACTAAGGGGGTTATAACCCATATATGTTTCCCTCTGGTTATTTAACATAGCCATGGTTTAGATGGCCCATTTATAGATGGTTTACCTATAAAATGGGTGGATTTTCCATGGCTAACTGTTAAATAACCAGAGGGTACATAGTGCAGATGGAATATGGCGATTTGTATACCGATGTGGGCCAGTACTAAGTGGCTTTTGTAGTTATACACTATCATTTATATATATATATGTATATGGATGGGATACCCCCAAAGATGGATGTTAGGTGGGATGCAACATCCAGCCCAAAAGCTAGAGGGCACAGTAACGCTTGCGAGGATTCCTGCAATGATAGGGACTTTACCAACAAGAATTGGAGATTTAGCCAATGATATATGGCGAAGGCTGATGTCCTTTTCCCACTGGTTGGTTGATGAGAAAAGGAGGGGTACAGAATACTCTTCAGCTGCCAATGGGTAAATCATGATGCGATATCAAAGGACTTATTTGCTTTCTGCGATGACGTCACGTGCCTCAAATTTCGGGACGCTAAAAGATCATTGCAACCTTGCAAAAGTCGTTTTGGGGGTTGTAAATTGAGAGTCTTGGGGGTGTAATATCCAAAGACAGATCAGCGAGAAAGTCAAGAACAGAACAAACAAATAGTCAACATTACTTGAGATTTCCTACTGCTACACGTATGTATGGCCCATTATTTTGTGGTTTAACTGGTAACACAATGTTCAGCCATAGCCGGTCAGTTTACATCGGCAAAGTGCCGATTTTCCGGGATGATCGTCACTCCGTTTTCCCAAGAACGGTGGGATGACCATGCCCCATTCATCCCACGTAATTTGACCATGGCACCAAGGCCATGGTCACATTATCCAGCGCTTCTATTGGTGCCCGTTGATGCTTCAGATGCAAGGTACCTGGGGTCAAGTTTGGGTTGGTACCATGGGTATATAGTTTTTTGTGCCACACAGTAACCACCAAAAAGGTAGAACTTGTTTCATCTGCAGGTATTTTGCTGGGATTTGACATTTCTACATTTGTTGGGGCTTGCCATGTGAGATGAACTACAGCTATGAGCGGGGGAAGACTTGAGGATTTGCCTGAGGAGTTGGTCAACTATGATATTGATATTCTTGTTCCTCGCTCAGTAGCCTCCAGCAAACTAACATAGCTATGGAAATCCCATGGTTCTTCCTAGGAAATGATCAACACATGGTGATTTTTCCATAGTTTTTTGTATGTTTACTGGAGGGTATCCCTTTTGGACCCTGATATGTCTCAATATCCGGCATTCATAGTCCCCTCTTCGAAAGACTGGCGGTAGGAGAGTGGAACCCTTACTGGTAGTCCATCAATATGAACAAACTGAACCCCCGATGAGAACAGTATCAACTCAGGCAACTTCGGAGGTCCGCTCCCTTGAACCATGGAGTATAGGGGTCCCTAGGGTCCCTAAAGGATTGATAGAAACATTAGTATGTTCTGGATGATGTTTCCTTCATAAATGGGTAAACATTAGCATGTTATGGATTAGCATGTTAGTATGTTATGGATAAAGTATATGGGTCCAAGTTTCGAAATATTCTTTCTATTTTGGGATTGCTATAAGCCAGACAATGACTCAATGACTCAATTTACCTTTCAGTCAATGATGGATGGCATCCCAATATCCCTAGTTCCCCTTGCATTCCCTGCATGATCCGGCAGATGGCAGTTGGTTCGCGCTGGATCTCGAGCCCTCCGAGCGAGAGGCGGACTGCGGCCGGTGGACGAGGGAGGTTCACATGGTGCCCCGGTTGTCACCTCCAAATACCTTGGTTTTATGGATCTGACATGAAGCATAGTCATTGAGACGAATGTGGCAAACCCAATCAACAAGCCCCAAAATCACCGTGAATAGATGGGTGGGTTTTTAACCATCCCCAAATGAATAGGTTTATTATTGGCTTGCCCACATTATGGAGATTCATTCTCATGAAATCAATAATATATATTGAAGAAACGAAACTGAGACATTGGATGTCCAATTTCCTTTGTATGACATGGTCGACTGCTGCCGCATCCTTTTGGTCCGAAGGGCCCTTGAGCCTGACGCATTTGCGTTGGGCTACGTGACTTGCAGGTGAAGGTAGAAAACAGCGTGGTGCACTTTGCACATTCCCTTGCCGATTTATCATGGTAGCGTGAGCTGCGAGCTCCAGTGGCCTTGAGCTACAACCGGAAGAGGTACTTAACTGTACCCTTGGTGTGGCACCTGGTTTTTGGGTGCATACAATAGGACAGTCCTGTCCTTGGGTGTGTCATGGCAATGGACACACGTGATCCTTTCAAGGAACTGACCTTCGATGGCCGTCCTGGACAATACAGGGAATTCAGGCGAAAGGTGATTCTCAGTGTTGCCGCCTTAGAGGACAAACATCAGTATCTTGCTGGTCCCAAGTTACTTAGCAGGTTATCTGGTGAAGCTTGGCGTTGCACTGAACACTTATCAATTGCAGATGTTCGCTCTGACCGTGGATGGTTAACTGTGCTGGAGTGTTTAGACAAGCACTACCGGCACTTACCTGAAGTTGAGCTGCACGAGTCAATTGATGATTTCTTATTTCACCTGAAGAAACGTCCACACGAAGGTACAACAGCTTTTTCTGCAAGGTTCAAGACAGCTTTGTCAAGGTTGGAAACATTGATTCATTCTGAACGGGAAGCTTCCAAAACAAAGAGACGCAAACGTGGTGATGACAAACGACGTCTTACACCTGCCTCTCCTGTTGAAAGCTCAGTGAAAGACTCATATGATTCTCCAGCCAACGGTTCGGAAGCTGCTGAACAAACTGATGATACAGAAGGAGATCCACCATCGGCACCAAGAGCCGAGCCAACTGAAACTGCCGCAGCAGGAACTCCTGGAACTGAAGAACCTCAGGCCTCCCCTAGTATGCCGAAGTCCGGATCCAAGCCAGCATCCGAGAAGAGTGCAAAGTCTGAGAAAAGTGGAAAAAGTTCCATGAAGTCTTCCAAGAAGCATTCAACTGGCACAGAAAAAGGTGATGCCGAGAAAGCTCAGATGGCTATGCGCCGTATGCTGGGTACACTGGAACCTTCTCATCGTAAGCCGAAGCCAATATTTCCTCAGTCGGTTTTGGGTCATCTTTTCATGAGAAAGTTTGGACTGAATCGTGAACAGCGAGCCTTGGTGATTCGATCAACAGGTGGCAGTTCGAGATTTTTGGATGTCGAACGCATTCTCAGGGCTTCAGATTTGGAAGATCAACGCAGTGATGATCGCCGTCTAGCTAAGCCTCAGTTGAAGCCTGGAAAAAGAGACACCTTTGCTGTTCAGGAGAATGATCCCGAAAGCTCTTCAATAGAGATGCCCATGAGTGAAACTGATGAAAGTATTGGTGAAGTTTTTGCAGAAGAAGAAGTCGTTGAAGACGAAAATGAAAATGAGTTAGCAGAAGTGTATGAAATACAGAAGAAGGCAAAACGTGACTTCAAGAGAAACTTCAAGACGTACAAGGAGACAAAGAAGAAGGTCAAAGAGTTGAAGAAGTCCCGTGTTGGTCCCTCATACTATCCAGTGGTTGCTGTGCCTCCAGATGGAGCTTCCTCTGCAGCGGGTAGTCAACAGACCAATGTCAAGCCTTTCAAAAGTGATCGCAAGGACCAATCCAGAAAGAAGGGTGATGGTCGTGGTTTCAAGCCATCCAGCCGTAAAGAAGATGCCAACTTTACCCAAGCTGAAATGGTTACCCAGTTCAACTACATGGTCACAGAAGTTGTTTCTGCGGTAGAAATGGAATCCTCATCCATGGACATGTTTTTGGCCTCCATCCCACAGGGTTATGCCATCATCGACACAGGTTGCACGACATCAGTCATTGGCCAGGAATCTGCAACAGGTATGATCAAGTTTTTTGAGGAGAACGGTTTTCCACGTCCTCAAGAAGTAACTATGCCTGCGGTGGAGCTGAAAGGTTTCAATGGCAAGACCGAGACCACCACTCAAGGTCTTAGATGGACTGTTTGCCTGGGGAATTTACAGGGTTGCATTACCACTTATGTTATTCCTGGAATGACCCCTTTCCTGCTGTCGAGACGGGTTTTAGAAGCCATGGAAGCAGTTCTGGATTTGAAACAAAGAACCATTTCAAGCAAGAAGCACGGGTTGGATCGTTTTCCACTACGTCAAGCCTCAAATGGACATCTCCTTCTCCCTTTGTGTGTTCCCAAAGATGATTTGGAAGTCGCACAATGCGATCACGACACCGTCAATGAGCCCAATGAATCCGAAGTAGCGTCCACCGAGTGCCAGGACCAACTGCCGGGCGACCAGAAGCCCAAACATGACAAACATGTTGCCAAGCCATCCAAACATGTTGTAAAGAATAAGAAAGCCTCCATAGATAAGAAACGTGCGTTTCAGGGAATAGTGAAGAACACTAAGAATGGGGTAGTTGATGTGGGGCAACATGCAAAAGCTTTGTCAGTTGTTTTTGGTGTTCCGGAAGGACAAATAATCCATGCAGCTGTGGCCTATAAACCTCGTAAGGAAAGAATGCCAACAACTGCCAGCCAGGAAGCATATGATTGTTCCGTAGCCTCTCTCGAGCTTTGTGGAACCCTCAATGTTGCACCCTGGAGGATCAGACCACCTTCCCAAGATCGCCGTCCAGTTCATGCCATGAGTGTAGCAATTTTTGCTTTCCGATCGCCAGAGATGCCAAGCGAATCTGCCGAAGAACCAGCCATGCCAAGTTGTGACGAACCCGCATGCTTTTGTTGCAGCCAACATGATGAAATGGGTCCCCCAAGTAAGGGTATAGATATCCCCGTAGAATCTCTATATGAAGAAGTCAGTTGGGTGGAACTAGGTGAGCAAAAACCTCTTCCAGAGGACACAGCCAACAGCCTGCTCAAGAGCATTGGGTCAGTCCGCAAAGCCAACTTGCGCATGACCCTGTCACGACTGGCCACCGAGCCCAATAAGGTGAAGGCCGAGCTGAAGCAATGGTTAGGTGATCAATCTCATGTCTTGGATAAAAAGGTGGGTCTTATAGAAGTGTTCACAGGCAAAGCCAAACTGTCTGAAGTCTTTGAGAAACAGACCGGACTTGCCAGCATCCGTCTCGGACTCCAGTTCGGCCAAGACTTCACCCGTTTGCATGACCGTAGATGCCTTTTGCTGCTGATAGCGTTTTGCAGACCACGACATGTGTGGTTCAGCTTTCCGTGCAAGCTTTGGGGTCCCTGGACTAGGATGAACCTCAACAAAAGCCACAGCACCTTTGAGAAGATCATGAGTGAACGAGCTGTTGCACGTCGCTATTTGCACAATGTATCAGAAGCCTGGAACCTCCAAATCTTGCTAGGTGGACATGCCCACGCAGAAAACCCTTTGGCATCTCAGGCATGGGCCGAGTTACAATTGGAAAATGCATGGGAAGTCCGCATAGATCAGTGTGCCTTGGGACTTCGATCACCGAAATCCGACCTGCCTGTTTTGAAACCGACCCGAATTGTAACCAGCGATGCCGCCCTGGCTGCTGGACTTGAGAGCTGTCGGTGTGATGGTCGGCATCAGCATGAGCACCTTGAAGGTACGTTCAAAGGTAGGAATTTGACCAGTTGGGCTGAATCATACCCCCTCAAGTTATGTAAGCATGTAACCGAATACCTTTGTCAAGCTCTTGAACCATGTAGCAAGCATGAAAAACATGTTGAAGAGATCCTCGCCGAAAGCTTGGACGAGCTTGCAGAGATGGGAGATGATGCTAACTTGGAGGGCGTGCCTGAAGTTAACCAACAACTCAGCCTTGAAATGCAGCGTGCAAAAGCACTGGTTCATAAAGTTCATGTGAACACTGGCCATTCTTCCCCAGAACAGCTTATGAGACTTGCCAACAGGTGCCAATCATCTGAAGCCGTCAAACAGGCAATCAAGGAATTCAAGTGCTCAGTGTGCGAAGAGATGAAATCCCCGCCACTGCATAGGAAAGCCGCCATCCAACATGCAGAGAGCCCAAACCACATTGTAGGAGTTGATTACGTTCAAGTTGAACTTCACCGTGAAGATGCATCCGGAAGGGTAAAAGAAATCAAACGCAATGTGCTCACTGCAGTTGACCTTGCCACTGATTTTTGCCAGCAGATCGTAGTGTCGCCTGGTCCGCATGGTTTGTCAAAGGCCTTCCACCAACTGTGGTCCAGACCATATGGAGTTCCCAAAGTGATCTACATGGACCCTGACCATAGGAACCTTTCCAGTGACTTTCAACGATACTTGGTCAGAAACAACATACAGTTGCTTCACAGTGGTGCTGAAAGCCATTGGCAATTAGGCCGTGTGGAGGTGGCGAACAGAATCCTTAGAGATATGGCCCAACGTGTCTGGAGAGCATGTCCTGACGCCTCACCAGAAGAAGTGATTGAGTCATGTTGCACAGTCCGAAATGAACAGCTTAGGAAACATGGTTTTTCTCCTGCCCAGTGGTTTCTAGGACGTGAGTCACGTCATGCTGGAGCCTTGTCTGATGTCATGGAACAAAATAATCCAGTTTCCCAAAGCCAAGTCCTTGATGATCCCAGTTTTGCAGCTAGGATTAGAATGAGGGATGAAGCCTCCAAAGCGTTCATAGAGGAGCATGCAAGAGACACATGGCGCCGTGCCATAGCCGGACGCAACAGACCAATGAGAGGGCCATACGTTCAAGGTCAGCAGGTTTACATGTTCAGAAAACAAGGAAAAGGAATGCTAGCCACACGTCATGGAGCATGGATAGGTCCCGGTAGAATCATAGGAACTGAAAGCTCAACAAATAATGTTGTACCGAGACTGGTGTGGGTGTCCTACAACGGTTACATGTACCGTTGCTCTCCAGAAGGCCTCAGACCACTTCCTGCGGATGAAGCTGCATTCCGTGAACTCACAAAAGAACTTGCTGTTGGCCAATTGGCCCCCGACATGGAGCGTGCAGATGATCAGCTGAAACGTCACTTTGGTTCATACATAGACTTGCTTCCCTCCAAACCTGAAGACCTAGACATGGAACTTGAAGATGATGTTGAAAGAGAACCTGAAGAGCCCGATCCACATGCGGAGGGCGGTCCTAGGAAAATCAGGCGAAGGTTTTACAGGTCAGAAGAATACTGGAGAAAACGTGCAGCTGGTATGCCGCCATCAGGACCTTTGCAAGAAGGCCCACAGCCGCAAGTCATCCGAAACATGGATGAAATTCATGATGCCGAAGATCCGACGCCGCCTGAGGACTCTCATGTTGACAAAAGGCGTAGGGTGACGATAGATTCTGATGTTGAAGAACAAGAATATGAACCTTCCATAGGTGAAACTCCCACAGGTGATGTTCCTTCTCCCAACGTTGAAGATGTTATGGAAGATGCGCCGCCAGGCGAGTCAGAATCGGCAGTGCCACCCGAACAGGATCATGTCATGGAAGACTTGCAACGTGCTGTAGAAACACCTGTGCCGGATGGTGATGATGAAAGCCTTCATGTCACCGGCAAAACCTCTGGCCGAAGGGACGAAGTCCTTGAAGTGTCGCTGAATGTCATGCCAGAGGACATAACTGATGACCCACTGTGTCTCTGGGGAGTCTTAGATGAATGCTTGCAGGTCACTCCACATGCCAAACAACAAGCCAAGCAACGCCGTGTTGAAGTTTCCTTCAGAAAATTATCCCCCGAAGATAAAAAGTTGTTTGAAAAAGCAATGCAAAAAGAATGGAACTCTTGGATAGAAAACAAAGTTACTTCGCTTTGCAAACGGAAGGGGATCCCAACTGAACGAATTATCAAGGCTAGATGGGTACTTGTTTGGAAAAAGAGTAGTGATCCAGATGACCGCACAAAGACCCCAAAAGCTAGGTTGGTGTTGGTTGGGTGGCAAGACCCCGAACTAGGTCGCATAGCGACGGACTCACCAACTCTCCGCAAAGAGACAAAACACCTAATCCTCACCATATGTGCCTCCCGCCGTTGGAAAATCTGGGGAGCGGATATTAAGACTGCCTTTTTATCCGGTGACCCTGCAAAGCGTGACATATACTTCAAGCCTCCAAATGAAATAAAGGAATGGATGAGTTTAGAAGAAGATGATTTATTTCGCTTGGAGAAGGCCGCTTACGGTCTTGCCGAAGCCCCTAGGGCATGGTTCTTGAGGTTGTCCCGTGAAATGGCTGCTGCCGGGTTGCAGGTGTCACAACTAGATCCTTGCCTCTATTCCCTCAAAAACGCCTCTGGGGAATTAGTTGGGGTATGTGGGGTACATGTTGATGATATAATAGGTGGTGGGACTGAAGAAATGGACAACGTGCTGTCAAAGATGAGACAAAAACTTCCTTTTGGAGACTACCGCACTTATACAATCAGATATACAGGGATAGAGATACGTCAAGACCCCCAAACTTTTGCCATAGAACTTGGACAAGAAGGGTATATTGACTCCCTAGAGCCTGTGCCGACCAAGCAGTATGGAAAGGCAGAAGACAATTTACCCAATGCTTCCATCATGCGCACCTGCGCTGGTCAGCTTGCCTGGGTAGCAAATGCCACCAGACCGGATCAATCCTTCCTTGCCTCATTCCTCCAAGGGGTTCAAGATAAGGGGACAGTAGCTCACCTCCAAATGTATAACAAAGCTGTTAGGGAGATGAAAGAGCGAAAAGTTTGCCTGAGATTCCCATCAGGGATTCCTCTCAAAGACCTCCGAATCTTGTGCATAACAGATGCAGGCTGGGGAACGAGATCCAATGGTGAAAGCCAAGGTGGGTACGTTTTGTGCCTCACAGTTCCAAAAATGTTTGAAAGAGTGCGAGCTCCATGCTGGGTAGTTGACTGGCAAAGCAAGAAACTTCGCCGGGTCGTGAGATCCTCCGTTGCAGCCGAAACCCTTGCGGGACAAAATGGCCTTGATGCAATTGAGGCATTCCAAGCCTTAATGCTGGAGACGATTCAAGGGATAACACCAAAGCAGTTCAGAGAGATGACCCCTGAAGATCCAGCAGGTTTAGTCTTGGACAGCAAAGGTTTTTATGATGCTGTTACCCGAAGTTGCTGCAGCCAAGCCATTAGCCAGGAACGCCGTCTACAAATCGACTATTCAATTGCAAAAGAAACCACCATCAAGCAGAATATACTTTTGTTTTGGGTGAATAACTTGCGAATGAGTGCTGATTGTTTGACGAAGCTGAGGGGTGACACAAAACCACTCTTCGAAATCTTGGAGCAATGCTCATACGAAATAACCATGAGCACCCAGTCAGGGAAGAAAGAAAAGAAAGAACAAATGTCACCAGAATAGAGTCAACCAATGGGCCAAAACCTTTTTGCTTGTATAGTGCCAGCGAAGCTTTCCCACTTGTTGCCATGCCATGAACCGGTAATAAACCGTGGGGGTAATAAGTTATGTCATAGACATAAATAAATGGGGAATAACCTGGTCCCTAAGTTTTAGCCTGAGAACGTTTGTATAGAAACATGTTCGCTCTTGCACTGGCTGGTTGAGATGTCAACATGAGTGTGACAGAATGTTTTTGCTGTCTCCGGCAGCAACCACCAACTCAAGCCAGCGTTTTTGCGTGGGCCAATCGTAGACCCTTTTTACCAGCCTTGCCCAGCCTTGCCATGTCACAGCCGAACAAAAAGGCCGCGACTGCAATGGAAGTGCCGCTCAACGATCATGAGATCAATCATGTGTGCGGATTGCTGCATAGAGCCATTTCCTTTGACCAAGGTCAGAAGGTGCTCAATGCCTTCCGTAACACGTTGACGCCGAAAGGTAACCATGTGCCGGACATGTACATGCTGGGTGAAATGAAAAAGATGTATGAGACCGAGAAGGGGTACCTCAATGTGAACTCCACCATGTCTGACGCAAGCAAGCGTCGCCTTTCCGAGGATGCCAAGGAAGCCGAAGATGAGGCTTCGATCTCAGATTGGAGCACATGTGGATTTGAAGGACCTTCGAAGGTCGAGAATGCATGTTTGGTTGGAGCCCTGAAGCCTCCCACCGAGAAGCCCTATATGCTTCATGTTCACCGCCATATCAACCCTCCGGAGAAGAATATGACTTTCTCACTGTGGGGAAATTCGGTGTGCCAGATGCCGAAGGTGGCAGAATTGAAGCTGAGCTATTTGGAGCTCATCCAGTTGGCCTCCACGGACACAGAGATCAAAGAGTACTTGATGTGGGTGAAGAATAGATATGGAACCGAGAACACAGGCAATCCCAAAGGAAAGATCACCCCAGCAGTTGATCTTGCGATGTTCTTAGAAGCCGTGGACTGGAATGGAGATTCAATGGTGGAGAAGGGATCCATGACCTTTAGCCGCAAGCTGAAGGACTAGCCAAGCTGGTATAAAGAAAGGTTTGCTGCAGCCTCCCATGGAGGGCGTGAAGAAACGAAACTGAGACATTGGATGTCCAATTTCCTTTGTATGACATGGTCGACTGCTGCCGCATCCTTTTGGTCCGAAGGGCCCTTGAGCCTGACGCATTTGCGTTGGGCTACGTGACTTGCAGGTGAAGGTAGAAAACAGCGTGGTGCACTTTGCACATTCCCTTGCCGATTTATCATATATATATATAATACTTGTTACCTCCCAACCGAGTGTCTGTATTGGTTCGGTGGCGCCACATCGGTGTGTCTCGGGGAGAGGGTCCTTCAACTGAGTGAATCACAAGCAATATGTGGTTTTCTTTAAAATGGGGGTTCCCCAAGTCACCGCAGGTTTCAATACTAAAGTGGTCTAATGACTTGGATGATTTGGGGGTACCCCTATTTTAGGAAACCTCCATATTTTGGAGATTATCATCACACAGAGTGGCTATTTTCAACATATCATTACAGTTGCAAAGAACATTTAACGGCCCACTGAGTCTTACGATTGGACAGCTCAACCTTTACTCGGTCCCTCTCTCTGACTGTCCATAGGTGGCATCTGTAGTGCAGTGAACAAAACAGAATTAAGCCATGCGTCTACGTTTCGAGTGCGGACCATTGACCACAATGACTATTGATTATCAATATCCATTAATCTCCCCATTATCAATATCATTAATCTTCCTATTTCAATAGTCAATAGTCAACTACGATCATAAATATCCATTAATCTCCCTATTTCGATGGTTGCATCCAACCATTATGACCGTTTAACCGTGAAATTACCCGTTCCATGGCACGTTGATGTGGTGGAAATCCCACAGCTCCCAGATGGTTCAGGACGTTGATCTGCTGTTTGCACGTTTGAAGCAAAGGTTGGGGCTGCCGAGTGACCATGCCTGGCAGTGCTCAAGTTGTACGTTTTGGTGGTAAATTGTTGAGTTACTCTAGTTATAGACACAAATATACATATTTGATCATATATGATAGGGGTTTATTTTTGATTCTTTAGATTGAACTATTACAGGAGTTTTGCAGTCGAGTTTTGCAGTCCTAAAAATCAGGTGATTGCCCCATTTTTTCAGAACCTCTATAGACCAGCAACAATGGGGTTATACCCGTTATACCGTTATAAAAGAGGTGCATTGCCCATGTTGACAAAGGGACACATATAATCAATGTTGACCTCTGGTTTGCTTAATTGTAAGAAATTGTAAAGGGTCCATTGAAAAAATCCAGATGAAATCACTTTTTGGGGGTGGGGCTCTCTCAGTTAATCAGCCAGGGGTTGTTCATACGCGGACATTCAGGACTTGTGTTTTTGGGGACCCTTGACCAATGTCCAAATCACACTTGCAACATCAACCACAGCAATCTGGGCTTGTCTCAAACTTTGGAAGCCTATTCCGTTTCATGGTTCGAAACGTCATTTTCAGTGGCCAAATAAAGCCATCATTTGAGACAAACCCAAAAATGGTGATGAATTGGTTTGCCCAATTATTGACCATTATTATTGAATCACGAAACATTACTGGACTAAGTGGTTAAATCCCAATATTGTTTGGTAAAGAGGACATGGTGACGATTTTTCGATGCAGTTCTGGAATAATGCCCTCGTTTCGCTCGTTTTGCTCTGGAGGATATCTGGGTCAGGATTATATCTGCGTACCCATCCTGTTGCGTAGCTTGATAGCATCCTGAAGTAGATTGAGTATCTTCCAGCATTGGATGATGGGAACATCTGCAACGTTCCCATCATTTGTTGCTAAAAAGCCAGCAGCTTAGAATAGTAGATCTTCCCAAGAAAATGACTATTCTGAAGCCCAGAGGGATCCTAAACTTCACTCGATATATCTCCTGGGCTATCAAAACAAAAGGGGTTAGCCTCTGGTAATCTCTGTGGCTGCGAAGATATGCTTTGCCTCAGGCACTTGGAGCTTTGGGGCATTCGACTTCTTTGGAGGTTGGGCTGTGGTGATTTTGGATATCCTTTAAAGAAGTTTACTCATACTCCCACAACATGTCAGAACTTGAGAGTCAGACACGTTGTTTTAATGCGATCCAACCAGTAGGTTCGCCAACCATTACCAGTGTGGTTTAGCTAGTCAGAAAAAGTTGACGAATGGTGGTTGCTTGTCTGGATTTTCTCGAAAAAAATCCATCATTTCCAGCGGGATTCATCAGCTGGACGAGAAAAGAACATTGTCCATTCCTCCTTGAAAATGATGCCCCCCCCAATTGACTTTCATGTTCTCAGGATGGCCAAACCACCAAGCAGAGATATTTTTTGATGTTTTTGTATGTTTGCTGCATGTTTCTGAGTTGGACTTTGCCTTTCTATGTTTTTCTTTGAAGATGACAATGTATACATACATATATATATATATATATAAATTATAAATTATATGATATTCTCTCCATATGTTTGGCAAGTTTCGCTCTGTATGTCGGCAACCTACAGCCCTCATAGCCCTGTATGATGGCAATCTGCAGCCCTCATAGCGCTGTCTGTTGGCAATCTGCAACTCTCATAGCCCTGTATCTTGGCAACCTACAGCCCTCATAGCCCTGTATGTTGGCAACCTACAGCCCTCATAGCCCTGTATGTTGGCAACCTACAGCCCTCATAGCCCTGTATGTTGGCAACCTACAGCCCTCATAGCCCTGTATGTTGGCAACCTACAGCCCTCGTAGCTCTCTATGTCGGCAACCTACAGCCCTCATAGCCCTGTATGTTGGCAACCTACAGCCCTCGTAGCTCTCTATGTCGGCAACCTACAGCCCTCATAGCCTTGTATGTTGGCAACCTACAGCACTCATGGCCCTGTATGTTTGCACCTACAGCCCTCATAGCCCTGTATGTTGGCAACCTAACGCCTTCAGCCCTGTATCTTGGCAACCTAAAGCCCTCATAGCCCTGTATCTTGGCACCTACAGCCCTCATAGCCCTGTATGTTGGCAACCTACAGCCCTCATAGCCCTGTATGTTGGCAACCTACAGCCCTCATAGCCTTGTATGTTGGCAACCTACAGCCCTCATTGCCAAACCTACAGCCTTCAATACCCCTGTATGTTGGCAACCTACAGCCCTCATAGCCCTGTATATGTTGGCAACCTGCAGCCTTCAATAGCCCTGTATGTTGGCAACCTATGACCCTCGTAAACCTGTATGTTGGCAACCTAATGCCCTTGTAGCCCTGCAACAGCCCTCATAGCTCTGAATGTCGGCAACCTACAACCCTCACAGCCCTCTATCTTTGTAACCTGCAGCCCTCATAGCCTTGCATGTTGGCAACCTACAGCCCTCATAACCGTGTATCTTGGCAACCTACAGCCCTCGTAGCCCTGTATGTTGGCAACCTACAGCCCTCAACGTGCAGCCATCATAGCCCTGTATCTTGGCAACCTACAGCCCTCAAAGCCCTGTATGTTGGCAACCTACGCCCTGTATGTTGGCAACCTGTGACCCTCGTACAGCCCTCATAGCCCTGAACCTTGGCACCTACAGCCTCATAGCCCTGTATGTTGGCAACCTACAGCCCTCATAGCTCTGTATGTTGGCAACCCACAGCTCTCATAGCCCTGTATGTTTGCACCTACAGCCTTCAATACCCCTGTATGTTGGCAACCTACAGCCCTCATAGCCTTGTATGTTGGCAACCTAACCCCTTCATAGCCCTGTATCTTGGCAACCTACATGTGTGTTGGCAACCTACAGCCCTCATAGCCCTGTACCTTGGCACCTACAGCCTCATAGCCCTGTATGTTGGCAACCTACAGCCCTCATAGCGTTGTATGTTGGCAACCTACAGCTCTCATAGCCCTGTATGTTTGCACCTACAGCCTTCAATACCCCTGTATGTTGGCAACCTACAGCCCTCATAGCCTTGTATGTTGGCAACCTACAGCCCTCATAGCGCTGTATGTTGGCAACCTACAGCCCTCCTAGCCCTGTATGTTGCTAAGCTACAGCCCTCATAGCCCGGTATGTTGGCAACCTACAGCCCTTGTAGCCCTGTATCTTGGCAACCTACAGCCCTCATAGCCCTGTATGTTGGCAACCTACAGCCCTCGTAGCCCTGTATGTTGGCATCCTATGATCCTCGTAGCTCTGTTTGTTGGCAACCTACAGCCCTGGTAGCCCTGTATCTTGGCAACTTACAGCCCTCATAGCCCTGTATGTTGGCAACCTACAGCCCTCATAGCCCTGTACCTTGGCACCTACAGCCCTCAGAGCCCTGTATGTTGGCAACCTGCAGCCCTCATAGCGCTGTATTTTGGCAACCTACAGCTCTCATAGCCATGTATGTTGGCAACCTACAGCCCTCATAGCCCGGTTGGCAACCTACAGCCCTCATAGCCCTGTACCTTGGCACCTGCAGCCCTCATAGCCCTGTATGTTGGCAACCTACAGCCCTCATAGCCCGGTATGTTGCCAATCTACAGCCCTCATAGCCTTGTATGTTGGAAACCTACAGCCCTCATAGCCCGGTATTGCCAATCTACAGCACTTATAGCCTTGTATGTTGGAAAACTACAGCCCTCTTGGCTCTATATCGTGGCAACCTACAGCCCTCGTAGCCCGGTGTGTTGGCTGTTGTGTCGCTACGGTCAACTTGTTTGTGAATCTCTGTGTCTTTCTTGTTCAGGAGCTTGAAAGACCCTGGAGGCAACGGAGACCTGTGGGTTGCGGAACTACGAAGGGGTTGGGGCCTGTTGCCTTTAGTCATCTCATGAGCTGACAACCCAAAGGCGAAAAACAGAAGGGTTTGGCAGTTGGGGCTTTGGGGTTGTTTCTTCGGATCCTGTCATTTATGCAGTCTGGAAACGTGTAAGTAGTGGAGGGTACAAAGGGATTCTTGAATGTAGTGATGGCCAAACTTTTGTGGATTGCGTGCTGATCGGTTGCAGTTGATCCGATGTATCATTGTGAGGGATTTGGATAGGGGAATTGAAGGGACGATTCGATTCTCCAATGGTTAGAACATGCCCAGGATTCATATGCCCATCCCCTGTATACCTCAGACTGTTGTTGGCTGTCACACAATGGGTCGTATATGGCCATTTTCAGTGGTAAAGGACCGATTTTCATCGTTCTGTTGTAGCTTTCACCACTATACCACCATGAATTGTATTATCAGAATCCATTAGAAGGACATCCTATCAGAAAGCCATAGCCATTACTCCAAGCCGCAACAAGTTTGGATGCGAAAACCATTGGATATCCTTGCATATTTCTTGATCACCACCCAGCCACAAGTGGTTATTTTCCAGTTTTTGGCTGGTCATATCCCTTTCTTTTGTTGGGTAAAACAAATTTTTGTTTCCTATCATCATTGGCAGTGAGACATATATACCGTTAAAAAACAACCCAAACCCACAATTTTGAAGCGGCAAATCATCTCCTAAACTATTTCTTTTGCAGCTTTATGTTTGTTTTTCACGGTTGCAACTCCATCAAGCTACAACCCAAGTTTTTTTTGTGGCTTAAAACCTCTTTTCCTTGGTGAAGCAGCTTGAATCCTCCGTAGTTCTTGGGCCTTAAAACTGTGCCAAGAGGCGACCTTTCAGATCTGAGCGACTGATGCCAGGCCACAAGGTCATTGTGGGAAGGACATTTGGGGTATTGACCATCCAAGATGTTTTTTTACCCTCTGGAATTTTAACATAGCTATGGAAAATCATAGTTTTTAACTGGTAAATCAACTATAAATAGCAATTTTCCATAGCTATGTTTAATTGCCAGATGGTAAATCTGTTTGTATGGGGGTTACAACCAACATTTGGAGATTTCGGGTTCCACAATTGAAAACAAGCACTTGTACTACTGTATCCATCGCAAAACCAAAGTTAGTGGAAGTCGAAACCCAATTTTTGTTGGTGAATTTCCATTTTTGGTTGCACCCCCCCGATTCGATTCCCCCAAAAAAAACTGTAGACATGAATAGATACAACATATTCCATACATGAAAGGATTGGCAACCTTACAAACCGAGATAGTGTGGGGGTATACAGTAACCCTCAATGGGACCATGCACACACGCATGTCTACAACATATGCACACCAGGCACATCATCGAAACAACTGCTTTACTTTCTACCTTGCGAGTGCCAGTTGCAGGGGCAAAGTTTTGTCGCCTTTCCATAGATTATGAGAGGCTGTAAGAGAAACACAGGGAACATCTGGTGCGAAACTACAGTGTTTGCTTGTAAGTTGCTGGCGCATCCAATGACGACAGATCTTCCAAGGCGCCGAGCGACTGAAGGGGTGGATTCTGCTTTGCTAGCGCTGGTCAGTGCTGCTAATCGTCAAATGGCGAGGAGTGTTTGCCAGCTGCTCATCCGGCCCTTGTGGAAACACCAGATCTCGAGCTTGAAACTTTTGATTGCAATGGAGGGAGGAGTGTTGGAAGTTAGGAATTCACCGCACGTCAGGCAATTCAGCACGAAGGAGCTGCACGAGGCCACAGCTGGCTTCGCCAAAAAACTTGGTAGATTCAATGGCATGGTCTACGTGAGGACGCTGATGGAACTCGCATGCAGTGAAGAAAACGGACAGGGCCGGCTTTGCAGAGAGCCAGGTGCTGAATCAGGGGCGGTGCCCCAACATCGTTGCTTTGATTGGTTGCGCAGACCTGCGAGCCAGACTGTACAGCGGAAAGCTTTCGACTTGGCAAGACCGAGCAGGTTGTTTTGGCATCTTGGCCTTTGCAGCTTGTTACTTTTGAGTTTATATGCATGCTTTTGTGAAAGGAATTGACACATGTTTTCAACAAATGTCCTAAGTAACCTTTTTTGAGTTCCGAAACCGTATTTCAGGACACCTCTTGAAATTTATTCTCCTATCTACTTGATTTGTGTTTCACAGCGGTTGCATTACTGTCACGATTCTGCCTCAACCTACGTTCTATATGCCCACCAATGCATGTTGCGCGGTATATATCTCCTGAGTACCATATTCAGCCTACAGCACTACATTGGAGAATAGGTGAAAAAAAATGAAACCCAGGGAGAAATCAATGACCACCATGTAACAATCAGTAAACACCATGTGAATCAATGAAAACTATGGACAAATCAATGAAAACCATAGAACCATGGATGAAAAATGCACGTGAAATATTTTAGCTCCAAAATGCTGCAAATTGCATGTTTGAGTTCCAAACTGCAGCAAATAGCAAAGGAAAGTGCCCCAAACTGCAAAACAAATCAAGAACAACAATAAATCTGCACCCTTTGCTGGCATTTGTCGGATTGGAAACGAAATGAAGCTAGAATTACTTGGTTACCCGCCGCCAACCCCACGGTTTGATGGAACAAATCCGCGCAGAGGCTTCGGCCAACTCGACAAAGTCCACGCCTCGCCGTCGGCCTCGTCGTTGGCCCTTGATCACCACCCTGGAGGCACTCAGCCGAGCCGATTCGATCCGATTCGCCTTGTTTGCAACGATGGATTTTCATCGATTTGCTGCAGCTTCCATCGGTATATCTCCATCAATTGTATTGATTTGTATTCTCAGAGTCTACATTGGAAAACCATAGCCATTTCCGGGAATCTTGTCCCAGGCCGCAACATTTGACAGCTTGAATGGCTCCATATCTCCTGGTCTACAACCAGCCAAATTTGGAGATCTTGGGTTCCATCCTTGAAAACTATCCCTTCCAAAACAAAATTAGTGGAAACTGAAACTATTTTTTGGTTCAAATACAATCCGCCAGGGTTTCGATTGGGGGTGTTTGATATTCAGGAGCAAAAAATGAGATAGTGTGGGGGGTAGACAGTAACCAACAAAGTTGAAAATGATAGGTCCTAGGTCATTTCGTATGGTTCGTGGCTTTGGGCTTACCATATTACTAAACATCCAAACTGGAGGTATAAGCACCTTGGAGGTTTTCGGTTCCGCCCTTGAAAACGAACATTGTGGACTCGAACCATAGAATTTGAAAAATCATTTTCCGTATTTGGACATTGCCATTTTTGTTGGTTCCTCGGAGTGCAAAACGGTATTGGAAGATCGTTTATTCACCTCCGTCCTAACGATGTTGGATTGCTGGAGGGTACACTATCCTCACCCACTGGGATCACCCTGGTGTAGGGGGTGTTTTTTGGTGGCTGCTGTATGGACAACTCAGGGTTTGCAAATGATTCTGGCGTTCTTGAGGGTTCCAACCAGGTGAAGAACACTCATATGCGTTTGTGTCAAACTTGAGGACCATAGAGGACCCATAAAATCACAGGACTGGTGGGTGTTCGTAGCAATCACTTAAACGACCTTAATTTTGGGTTCTATCACCAGTTTTGGTTGGTTTTCGTGGAATGGTTTTGTCCCCAACTAGAAATTGTTTGGGGAATTTTGGTGGTAAAATCATGTGAAATTCCAGTTATCCGATTATCAACCATTATCAATGACTAATCATTGAAAACCACTATTATCCACTATTATCCACTATTATCCACTACTTGATACCCACTATTTTATCAGCCATTACGACTATCAACCGCTTGTCAACTGGCTGCATCGATTCCAGAGGCCGCGGCGATTGGAGAATGGATATGCGAGGCCGGGACCTTTGGTACCTTTGGTCGTGGGTAAACATGTGGAAGACAATAGTGGTGGTCCATTATCTGTACTATTAATGGTAAGATAATGGTCACTGGGTATAGTAATTATATATCTGGACTACTCCCATTATCAACCACTATTTGCAATGTTTGACACTTCTTCATCTTCTAGTTGATCATGGGAGTAGCGGGGGCTTTTATAGTTGTATAATACTCGGTTAATTCTTGAAGACCTTGAAGGCTTGGTAACAAAAATGGGATTTTGACAGTTGATACCGTAATGATGAACAGTGGTTGATAGTTGGATCATTGGGAGACCTTATTGCGAGTGGTCAAATTTGGTCATTACGAAAATCTACAAAGAGTTCAGTGCAGTTTGAGTGATAGACCTTCTCAGTTTGTAGTTTGTAATGTTCATATCTTCAGTTTTGTGGTTTCCATAGCTGCGTAGCTGCGATTGGCAGGTGTTGCAGATCAAGTCTCCTGAGAGCCACAGATGGCGGCTGATTTGTTGGGTGCTATAGGAAGTTATACTATCCAATATCGCGAGGATTATATACACATATATGAGCAACCGTAAAAACCCCGGCAATACTAAATATGTATTCGACGGACATTGGTTTATGGAAATTGATGGAAATTGTTAAAAACACGAGGTAAGCGATGGGACCTTCCCAAATTAGCGATACCCCTTTTCAAGGTTATGTCATCATATTTCTCTAATATCCACATTAGCGATACCCAAATATCACATATTAGACATATTATTCATAGTTCATCACAAATATATATATAATATATATATATATATATAAATAAATGCAGCAGTTTCCTGCAAGCGATACCCCCCAAGTTTACCATATATCATTATTGTACAAACGCGTGGTAAGCGATGGGACCTTCCCAAATTTGTGGATGTCCTTTCCGTGAACCTAGGGTTTTCACAATCGCTCATATATATATATATATATCAATGGCCATTTCAGGAACCTAAATTGGAGGTACCTACCATATATAAGGCCTATGTAAATATATATATATATATGAATATCATCATCCATGGGAATCCATCTAATTTCGGGGTCAGCGCAATTTTCCATCCAATTTTTATGGCAATTACCAGTTCTTCATGAATTTTTGAGTCATGTGGCTCAGTACCGGTGGAAATCAGTGTGTCATGGAGTATGCTGTCAACATCCTTTTTTGCATGTATACATACAGAATACATGTCTATGTATAGAGATCATACAGAACTATGTACTGTTTACGTAGTGTATATGTATGATGATCTCTGTTTTTTTAGATTTCCATGCGCAGTTGTCCCTTGCAATCATCCCTTGCTGGGCGCATGAAGGGCGGCTCGTGTAGCCACCCAGCTCCATGGGCTGCTTCAAAAAGATCTGCTGATGTCGGCTGAGAGCAGGGTCATTGGGACCTTTAAAAAGGACTCCTTGAATCAAATCCAGTGATTTTTCAGCAATGATGAAGACAGTCTTCCTTTTGTGACATCATGAAGCATGGTTCTTTTTTTGATGTTTTGTTTTTTTCCCATCTGAAACATGGAATGATTGTGAAAAGCCGACTGGTTTGGGTTAGTGGGAAATCCTGGGATTAGCGCCAAGGGTTTCATCACATCTCCCTATGATACGGTGGATGGGCCAGCAGAATCCTGCAGCAGTTGATAGATGGTTCCCATTTTCAATAAGATTTCAACCATCCTTTTGGTGCTGCAGGATTTCGCAACCATCCACAGTATCTTATTCTGTCCCATTGGACGTAGCTATCTGCCGAATGATCACCGACGTTTCAACCGCTTGCCTCGGGGCTCAGCCGTATCCAGTGGAGATCGGCCGATCTGAGAAATGAAGCATGTCCCACGCCGCTCGCCGGTTTTCTTTGCGGATTTTCCCAGAGGCTAATTGTGGAAGTTTCTGGTTGGAGTCAAAGCCAAAATGGGATTCATACCCTCTGGTAAATAAACATAGACCCTGGAAATCACCAATTTTTAATGGAAACTAGTCTTCCAACCCCTATCTGCCAGGGTCTATGTTAATTTACCAGAGGGTAAGCGTCAACAGAATGGGATTTCAAAGTAGTTCCAATTCCTACGTAGTAACTTAGGTCCTATCGCTGGGTCGGCCTCCAGCTCTGTCGATTGGAGCATACATACAGCGTTCGTATTTTTTTTGATTTTCTTTGTTCTTAGGGGAAGATATATGAGCATGTGATATCATGTGATTGATGATTGCCAAGGTGCATAGTCCTGCTTTAAGCTACTGCAATGGTTTGTGCCTCCTAAAAATGGGTAACATGAAAGTGCTTGATAATTTGTTTCTGGTTTCATGTTGCCAAATTGACCATGATCCTTGGGTGTCTGAAATGTTCGGACCCGTTTCGAAGAGGTAGATAGTCAATGATTCAGTTGGAATAGAACGGTTGGAACTTTGATGAAAAGAACGGTAAGATGAAACGAACAAACTCATGAGCATTTCCAATATCTGAACAACAAGCATGTAGTCAGCAAATCTAAGTTTCACCGAACTGCACCATTTTCCCTATTTTTTCTCCAACAACCCCCATCCCTTTTTGCTCAGGACTGGGATTTCTCGTCCTTTTGGGTGTGCTGAGCCCAGTGGATGCTGGGCTACAAGTGGCAGCCAGCTGCACAGCTGTAGCCTGTGGTGAACATGGAATCTGTAGGCGGGCCGCTGGGCTTTGGTGGGGTTAACGCATCAAAACCAGACTTTGGTTGAGATTCTTTCATATTGTCTCCTTTACAGGTGATACATCC